ATCCAGTTTCTCTAGGCTAATTTGGAGAGAGGGATCATTTGCTAGAGTACCCAAACGATTGAATCCACTGCCACAAGTAATTTCCTCTGGTACTAGTAAAGGAGGTAGTAGCTTCTGACATATTTACCCAATATGATTAACACAAAGATAGTAATTAATCCCAAGAAATCACAAAAAACCCCTGTGTAGCCAAAAAAAAATAAAAAACCAATCACTGGACAGAAGAGCCTAGAGGTGCTAATACTCCGAATGTGCAAAACACTTTCACAAATCCAACCAAAGAGCAAAAAAAAAAGCTATAAGCATTCAAGAATAGCCCTAATTGCACCTTTTTGAGTGGGATTGACCAAAAACTAGGTGGCTGAGTGCATTGTTGGAGCAAACATAGTGTCAAACAAAAAATCTTAAAATACATTCAAAAAGTCAATCAGATGACTTTGAAAAAATTCACAAAAATTACTATAATAGTTGGGAGACAAATTCGAGTCTATTGATGTGTGTTTCAAAAAATTCTAACAGTCTTGGTGCTGACATCAACTTGACAGTGAGTTATGTCAGCCACCAGTGGTTGCGACTGATACTTTCCGATGAGTTTCCAAACACTTTGAGGTGTATTGATTGATGCTCCAATACCAAGTTAGATTATTACGGCGTTACGATTTGAAGAAAAGAGAATTAAGAAAAGAGAGTAATGTATTAAGTTACGCCACTACACTCAACATATATATAGTTACAAAGTTCAAAGTACTAAAATAGCCTTAATCTAAGTAATCTAGCATAGTTATCAAATCAAGATACATATCGGAAATTGAAATGTTAGATTTGAGAATCGAAAATCGTATCAAATCAGGAACAGTAAGATTCGACAAAAAATTTGAACAATGATAAAAAAAAATATGTAGTATATTGAACATTATTTTATTTTAAAAATAATCAATTGACGGTATTGACATGATCATGTCATCTAAATGAAAAGATACTAGACTTTATAAATCTTTATAAAGTTATACTCGAGTTTGTACCTCTGTTACTTCATTCTTAATACATGATAAATCATATATCCAAAATGGTCACGAAGAAAAATGCCTACTTTTTAACCAACAAATAGCGCTATTGTTTTCCTACCAATGAAGTTAAACTAAAAGGGCAAAAGTCCACACTGATTCGAACATGTAAACTTAGAAATTCACTTTCCACATTCGATTGAAAAATAAATTTTGGATTAAAAAAATAAAGCATTTATCGAAAAAGAAGAAGAATTAGAGTATTTTAGGGTTTGTTAGCTATTTTTTAAGAAGAAGAAAAAACATACCACAAGTGAAGGAGACGTCGTCTCTGTGTGAAGTTCACATATGCTTGAACAGTCGCTTGAGAGGTAGAGATGCAAAAAATAGACAAAAACATATATGAGTTTCATATTTGAAGGTGGGCATCTTTTGGCAAAGCGACGTCATTTTATTAGAAATGGGGATAAAAATAATAATAAAACGAATCATATGATTCTTTCAATTCAAATCAAATTGAAGGATTCTTGTGAATCTCGACCAAAAACGATTATATAATAAAATACAAATCGAGTAGGGACTAAATTGAATCAAATCATACGAATTAAATCACAAATCGTACGATTTTGAAAGCAATGTTTTGTAGTCTCTTTCTTCGTACTCTTTTTCTTCTCCAGCATCTTATCTTCTTATTTTCATAGTTTTTTATTTCTACTTCTTTTTCTTCTTCGTACTTTTCTTCTTCTCAGTCATCAAGTCTTCTTCCTCTTCGTAGTCTTCATAGTTTTCTTCTTCTTTTTCTTTGTAGTCTTCTTCTTCTTCTTCTTCTTCTTCTTTATAGTGTTCTTTTTTTGTAGTCACCTTATTCTTGTTCTTCATAATTGACTTATTCACATTCATCTTTTTCTTCTTCTTTGTCGTTGTCATATTCTTCTTCTTCTTAGTGTTCTTTCATCGTAGTCTTTTTTTTCATTTTCATAGTTGTCATCTTCATCTTATTCCTTGTAATCTTCTTTTTCTTCAAAATCTTCAAAGTCTTCTTTTTCTTCGTCTTGGTTGTCTTCTTCTTCCTCTTCATAATCTTCCTTCTTTTTTTTTCTTTCTCGTAATCTTCGTAGAAATAGTATTTTTCTTCTTTTTGTAGTATTTTTTTCATAGTTTTCGTAGTTCTTCTTCTTCTTTGGAGTTTTCTTTTATATTTTAAATTCTTTTTTTTGGTATTCTTCTTTGCAGTCGTTTTAAATCTTCCTTTTCTTCTTGTTCCTCTTCAAAGCCTTTTTCTTCGTAATCTTACTCTCTTCTTCATACTCTTCGTAGTAGTAGTGTTATTGTTGTCACTCTTCGTCTGCTTCTTTTTCACAATCTTCCTCTTCGTAACCATCTTCTTCTTTGTATTGTTCTTGTTCTTTTATTTCATAACCTTTTCTTTTTTCTTATTTTCTTCTTTGCAGTTTTCTTATTCGTATTCTTCTTCTTCGCAGTCTTCTTTTGCTTTGTATTCTTCTTCTTCTTCAGCTTCGAGTCTTCTATTTCTACTTACTTTTTTTTATTCTTCATTGTAGTCTTTTTCTTCGTACTTTCTTGTTCTCGATCATCAGGTTTTTTTTTTTGTAGTCTTCTTATTCTTCTTCATTGGAGTCTTTTTCACAATCTTCTTCATAATCTTCCTCTTCGTAGCCATCTTCTTTGAAGTGTTCTTGTTCTTCTATTTCACAACCTTTTTTTTTTTATTTGTAGTCTTCTTCTTTGCAATTTTCTTATTCGTATTCTTCTTCTTCGCAGTCTTCTTTTGCTTTGTACTCTTCTTCTTCTTCAACTTCAAGTCTTCTTATTTTCGCAGTCTTCTATTTCTACTACTTTTTTTTATTCTTCGTTGTAGTCTTTTTCTTCGTATTTCTTGTTCTCAATCATCAAGTCTTTTTTTTGTAGTCTTCTTATTCTTCTTCATTGGAGTCTTTTTCACAATCTTCTTCATAATCTTCCTCTTCGTAGCCTTCTTCTTCTTTGTAGTGTTCTTGTTCTTCTATTTCATAACCTTTTTCTTTTTTCTTATTTGTAATCTTCTTCTTTGCAGTTTTCTTATTCGTATTCTTCTTCTTCGCAGTCTTCTTTTGCTTTGTACACTTCTTCTTCAGCTTCAAGTCTTCTTATTTTCGCAGTCTTCTATTTCTACTACTTTTTTTATTCTTCTTTGTAGTTTTTTTCTTTGAACTTTCTTGTTCTCGATCATCAAGTCTTTTTTTGTAGTCTTCTTATTCTTCTTCATTGGAGTCTTTTCTTCTTCGTCATTTCCGTATTATTCTTCTTCTTCATCATCATCATACTTTTTTAGTCTTCTTACTCTTTCTACTCCTTATTCACATTCATCGTTTTCTTTTTCTTCTTATTCTTCTTTTTGTCCTTGTCGTAGTCTTCTTCATAGTCATATTCTTTTTCTTCCTCTTAGTATTTTTTTTCTCGTAGTCTTTTTCTACTTCTTCATAGTCATCACCTTCATCTTCTTCCTTGCAATCTTCCTTTTGTTCCAAGTGTTCATAATGTTATTCTTCTCCTTCGTAGTCTTCTTTTTCGTCACATTCTCTATAATCTTCTTTTTATTCACTGTCGTAGTCTTCTTCCTCTTCCTCTTCCTCTTCCTCTTCCTCTTCCTCTTCTTTGTAGTATTTGCAGTCTTCCTTCTTTTTTCTTGTACTTCATCGCAATCTTTGTAGTCGTCTTCGTAGTTTTCGTAGTTATTCTTTTTTGGAGTCTTTCTTTTTTTTCTAAGTCGTCCTTTTTTTGGTATTTTTCTTCTTCGTATTTTTTTTCTTTGTAGCCTTTTTCATAGTCTTTACTTTATTATTCTTTTTCTTCATCGTCTTCTTTTTTTCGTACTCTTCGGAATAATAAATACTAATAGTAATAGTGGTGATGTTATTGTTGTTCTTCATCTTCGTAGTCTACGTCTTCATAGCCTCCTTCTTCTTTAAAGTGTTCTTGCTCTTCTTTTTTGTAATATTCTTGTCTTTCTTCTTTGTAGTTTTGTTACTCGAATTCTTTTTTCTTCTTCTTCGCAATTTTCGATTTCAACTTTTTTTTATTTTTCTCTGTAGCATAGTTATCAAATTAAGATTCATATCGGGAATCAAAATGATAGATTTGAGAACCAAGAAAAGTATCAAATCGAAAACCGTAAGATTCAACACAAAATTCAAACAATGATTAAAAAAATATGTACAAATTTAAAATAGGTAAGATATTAAATATTGAATGTTATTGTATTTTAAAAATAATCAATAAATGGTATTGACATGATCACATCGTCTAAGTAGAAATATGCTAGCTTTTATAAATCTTTATAAAGCTACACTCGAATTTGTACCTTTGTTACTTCTTTCTTAATACATAATAATCATTCCCTCAAAATAGTCACGATGAAAGATACATAATTTTTAACCAAAAATAGTTGTTGTCCATTCCTACCAATGAAGTTAAACTAAAAGGAAAAACACATATTAATTCAAACATGTAAACTTAGAAAATTACTTCCCACATTCGATTGAAAGATAAATTTTGAATGAAAAATAAAAAACAGTGCATTTATTGGGGAAAAAAATAAGTAGGATACGTTAGGGTTTGGTAGCTGTTGTTGAAGAAGAAGCAAACCACGCGTGATGGAGACTTCGACTTTGTGTGATGTTCACAGATGCTTGAATAGTCGCTTGAGAGGCAGAGACGCGAAAAATTAATATACAGAGATGCGAGTTTTATATTAGGGGGTGGGCCTCTTTTAGTAAAACGACATCATTTTACTAGAAATAAGATTAAAAAATGAAAAAAATAAATCGTACAATTCCTTTGATTCGAATCAAATCGTACTAAATTCTTGCGATTCTTGGCCAAAAACGATTCTATAGTAAGATACGAATCGAATAGAAACTAAATCGTACAAATCGATTTGCAAATCGTACGACTTTGATGACAATGCTTCGTAGCCTTTTTCTCCGTACTCTTCTTCTCCGACATCTTGTTTTTACAGTCTTCTATTTCTACTTCTTTTTCTTCTTCGTATTCTTCTTCTTCTGCTCAGTCATCAAGTCTTCTTTTTTCGTAGTCTTCTTATCCTTCATCATTGGCGTCTTTTCTTCTTCGTCGTTTTCGTCTTATTCTTCGTCTTTGCAATCTTCGAAATTTTCTTCTTTTTCTTCGTAGTCTTCTTCTCCATGGTCTTCTTTTCTTATTCATAGTGTTCTTTCTTGTATTCTTGTTCTTGTTCTTCATAGTCTTCTAATTCACATTCATCTTCTTCATTTTCTTTGTCGCTGTCATAGTCTTCTTCATAGTCGTATTCTTCTTCTCTCTCTCTTCCTAGTGTTTTTTCCTCAGTCTTTTTCTTCTTCTTCATAGTTGTTATCTTCATCTTCTTCCTTGTAATCTTCCTTTTCTTCAAAGCCTTCGTAGTGTTCTTGTTCTCCTTCGTAGTCTTTTTTTCTTCGCCTTCATTATCTTCTTCTTCCTCCTCTTCATAATCTTCTTCTTCCTCCTCTTCATAATCTTCTTCTTCATAGTATTTACAGTCTTCCTTCTTTTTCTTATTCTTCCTCGTAATCTTCGTAGTCGTCTTCTTCTTAATAGTAGTACTAGTTTTATTTTTTTTGTAGTTTTCATAATTATTTCTTCTTCTAAGGAGTTTTTTTCTTCTTCTTTGAAGTCTTTTTCATAGTTCTCATTTCCTTCTTATTGTTCTTCTTCACAGTCTTTTTCTTCGTAGTCTTACTCTCTTCTTGGTACTCTTCGTAGTAGTTGTAATGTTATTGTTTTCGTTATTCGTCTGCTTCTTTTTCACAATCTTCTTCTGTGTAATCTTCATCTTCGTATCCTTCTTCTTCTTTGTAGTGTTCTTGTTCCTCTTTTTCTTATTCGTAGTCTTTTTCTTTGTAGTTTTCTAATTCGTATTCTTCTTTCTTCTTTTCGACGTACTCTTCTTTTTCTCCAACATCGAGTATTCTTGTTTTTGTAGTCTTCTATTTTTACTTCTTCTCTATCATCAAATCTTTTTTTCGTAGTCTTCTTATTCTTCATTGGCGTCTTTGCTTCTTCATTGGTGTCTATTCTTCTTCGTCATTGTCATTTTATTATTATTCTTCTTCTTCTTTTTCTTCTTCATAATTTTCTTCTTTTTCTTCATAGTCATCCTCTTCGTGGTCTTCTTTTCTTCTTCTTCATAGTTTTCTTCGTATTCTTCCTCTTCTTTTTCTTTGTACTCTTTATTTTCTTTGAAGTCTTTGTGGTCTTCTTTTTCTTCTTGTTCTTTATAATCTTCTTTTTTCTTCGCCTTCATAGTCTTCTTCGTCTTTCTCTTTGTAGTATTTGCAATATTCCTCCTCCTTTTTTCTTGTTCTTCATCGTAATTTTTGTAGTCGTCTTCGTAGTTTTTCATAGTTTTCGTAGTTCTTCTTTGCAGTCTTCTTTTTTTTCAAAATCATCTGTAAGACTATGAAGAAAAAGAAGAAGATGACGAAGAAAAAGACCCTGAAAAGAATTATAAGTAGAAAATGAAGACTGAAAAAGACTACAAAGAAGAAGAAAAATACCAAAAGACTATGAAGAAAAAGAAGAAGATGACGAAGAAAAAGACCCTGAAAAGAATAATAAGTAGAAAATGAAGACTATGAAAAAGACTACAAAGAAGACGACTTTGAAATAAAAAAAAAGACTTCAAAGAAGAACTACGAAAACTATGAAAATAGTAGTAATAGTAGTAGTAGTGTTGTTATTGTTCTTCTTCTTCGTAATCTTCATTTTCGTGGCCTCCTTCTTTGTAGTGTTCTTGTTCTTTTTTCGTAATCTTCTTGTTTCTTCTTTGTAGTCTTCTTCTTTATAGTTTATTTACTCGTATTCTTATTTCCTCTTCTTCACAGTCTTCTATTTCTACTTTTTATTATTCTTCGTAGTTCGTAGTCTTTTTATTCGTACTCTTCTTCTCGGGCATCGAGTCTTCTTGTTTTCACTGTCTTCTATTTCTACTTCTTCTTTGTCTTCTTCTCAGTCATCCGGTCTTCTTTTTTCATAATCTTCTTATTCTTCTTCTTTGGCGTCTTTTTTCTTTGTCGTCATCATCTTATTTTTCTTTTTTGCAATCTTCATAGTTTACTTCGCAGTTATCCTCTTCATGGTCTTCTTTTCTTATTCACCTTCTTCTTCTAAGTATTCTTTTTTATATTCTTATTCTTGTTCTTCATAATCATCTTATTCATTCTTCTTCTTCTTTGTTGTTGTCATAGTCTTCTTCAAGGTCGTATGCTTCTTCTTCTTCTTCTAAGTGGTTTTTCCTCGTATTTTTTTTCTTCTCCATAGTTGTCATCTTCATCTTCTTCCATGTAGTCTTCCTTTTCTTTGAAGTTTCGGTAGTGTTCTTGTTCTCCTTCGTGGCCTTCTTTTTCTTCGCCTTCGTTGTCTTCTTCTTCTTTTTTTTTAGTATTTGCAGTCGTCTTCTTCTTTTTCTTGTTATTCCTCGTAATTTTCATAGTCGTTGTCTTCTGCTTAGTAGTGCTAGTATTCTTCTTTTTCGTAATATTTTTTTTGTAGTTTCCGTAGTTCTTTGGAGCCTTCTTTTATTTTTCAAAGTCTTCTTCCTTTTGGTATTCTTCCTATTCGCATTTTTCTACTTCTTTGTAGTCCTTTCCATAATCTTTATTTTCTTCTTATTGTTCTTCTTCACAATATTTTTTTCGTAGTCTTAACTTTTTCTTCACACTCTTCGTAGTAGTAATAGTGTTGTTATTGTCGTCGTTCTTCGTCTGCTTTTTTTTCACAATCTTGTTATTCGTAATCTTCCTCTTCGTAGTCTTCTTCTTTGTAATGTTCTTGTTCTTCTTTTCCGTAAGCTTCTTTTTCTTTTCGTAGTCTTCTTCTTTGTAGTTTTCTTATTTGCATTCTTCTTTCTTTTTCTTTGCAATATTCTTTTTCTTCAGCATCGAGTCTTCTTGTTTTTGCAGTCTTCTATTTCTACTTCTTCTTTGCAGTCTTTTTCTTCGTATTTTCTTCGTCTTTATCATCAAGTCTTCTTTTCTCCTAGTCTTCTTATTCTTCTTCATTGGCATTTTTTCTTCTTCGTCATTGTCGTCTTATTCTTCTTCTTCTTCTTTCTTCTTCTTCTTCTTCTTCTTCTTCTTTTATAATTATCTTCTTTTTCTTCGTAGTCTTGCTGTTTGTGATCTTCTTTTCTTTTTCGTCATCGTCATCTTCTTCTTCTTGTTAGTGTTCTTTTTTGTAGTCTTTTTATTCACGTTCATCATCTTCTTCTTTTTCTTTGTCTTTGTCGTTGTCATAGTCTTCTTCATATTCATATTCTTTTTCTTCTTCTTAGTCTTCTTCATTGTCATATTCATCTTCTTTGACGATGACAAATGATAGAGAAGAAGAATAAGAAGGCAATGAAAAAGAAGCCTACAAATAGGAAAAAGAAGAACAACACCACCACCACTACAAAGAAGAAGATGAAGAATAACAACACTATGAAGAAGAGAAGAAGACTATGAAAAACAATTGCAAAGAAGATGACGGTGAAAAAGACGATGGCTACAAATGAAAAGAAGAAATATACGGAGTAGACTACAAAAAATAAAAATACGAAGAAACAGTAGACTACAAAGAAGACTACGAAGAAGTAAACTACGAAAAAAAGATTGAAGAAGAAGTAGAAAGAGAAGAAAACTACAACAAAAAAAAGGGAAGGAGGAAGAAACTACAAACACTTAAAGGACATTCCCCACACCCACATAACAAACCTGCATACTCTTACAAGTGAAAGCATGAAGCAGAACAAGCCCTGAACTTTGTATCACAACCTCGAACTTACCATGTGTTCAGATAGCTATAGGATAGAATGTCCTGAATATAGATAGTAATCTACTTTCGATTTGTGGAAAGTGAGCACTTAAACCAGATTTTTACTTTCGATTTGGGCAAATGAAACAAAATAGATCAACATATACACGAAAGAGAATTCACAAGCAGAGGCAACTGAAGCTAAAGGAACGTAACACTCAACAAAACTTAAATAGAGGAACATAGCTATATGAAATTAAAATGGTTTTCCTACCCCAAAAAAAAAATTGCCTATATGAAATGTGACAGATAATGATTATGATAACACCTGACATAGCCAATAAGGACACACATTCTGTCATGGCTGGCTCAACATGGATACACAAAAATCTGAAGCATCCCTGGCCATACCATAAGCCAATAGAGGTGAAATATCTAAAGTTTGCAATGCATTATAGTCATCCGACCCAATAAAAAACAATAACACAACTTATCAATCAAAAAAGGGATTATGATTCTGCGCAAACAAGAAGTTAAGAAAGAACTTACTATAGGGTTTTGCAACAATAGCTTGTTAGCAACTAAATGATGAAAATGGCATTTTACCTTAGAATGAAAAGGATTAACAGTTGACAAAATATGGTACCTGATATTATGCTGGACTGTATTGCTACTGTAGACCTTGGAGACACCGTAAAGTGGGAGTTTGTAAACCTAATAATCGAATTATGTTACAAAATGATGAATTATTTACTCCCAAGTTAATGGTGGCCAATTGACTCAACAGAACATCAAGTCAGGTTGTGTGGAGGAAGTTGGCTATCTGGATTACACATATCTACACCTGATAAGAGAAAGAGGGATAAAATTAATAAAAACTCAGAGAGAAATGATTTCTACAGCATAACCAAGATAAAAAAGAGAGAACTTGCCTTTTTTCAATTTGTGAGTGATGGAATGTCTCCATCACCTTTGAGAATAAGGTTCTTCAAAGCAATTCCTAGCTGCAGCTGGGGACCAAAAGATATGTATAAGAATAGGAACGTGTTGTTTATTCTGATTAAGAGAACTTTCAAGGGAGAGTAGCAATTCATGTGAAGCTTCCATGTGAAAATTCTGCTTAGGATTCTACTTGGGAATTGTCACAACAAAGTTTGTATGTGTTCCCCTTTTTTCCCTTTTACCTCCCATCTGCTTTTTTGCTTCCCTGTCAACTTTTTCTATGATACCAGCGCAGTCAATTAATCAATCTGTGGACCGTAAAGAGAATAGAAGGGGAGAAGAGAAAGATGGGGGAGTTAACAGCTTGAAAAAAGAAACAATAGGCTTGAAAAAATAGCATTAAGGGCCAACGAATATAATGAGTTCATCAAATTTTATATTATTGATTCCATCTACATTTTCAAACTCAAGAACTGTGTTATGATTAAGCATGAAGATAGCATATTCTAACAGATAAAAGAAAATCATCACCACATTGCCCAACAGACATTTGGCCAGTGAAAAAAATTAATTATAAGCAATAGGGTATGAAACAATAAAACTTGCACATATGAGATTAGAGACAATTGACGAGAGATAAATATCACCGCCATAGTAGATTCAATCGTCAATAGAACCATGGATTAAGACAAAGGAACACGATGGTTGTGCATATGCAAATAAAGGAACAGGAAGATATAGGGTTGAATAGCTTCTCTGCTATGAGCTGTAACAAGATGAACCCTTTCATCTACTAATGAAATTGGTGATCTACCCAAGGCGAGCCTTGATTGCAGTCGAAATACCCAATAGTTTCAAATTTTCAAGTTTTAGTGATGCTTTATTCATTGGCAAGGATGGTGGCCAGACTTTTTGGTTTCTTTGGTAACTGTCAAAAGTGGGTGAAAGTAAAGTAAAGAGAAAGAACCTGTTAAAAAAAAGTAAAGAGAAACAATCAGACAATGGTTTTTCATCTTTCTGTCTCTAAAATCTGATTTGTTATGGGTTGTTTGTGTTCTTAACCCTTAAGCACAACCACTTTGGGGAAGAGGAGGTCGCCATCAACCGTGGTCCTGTTTGGGTGTGTAGAGGTTGTGGGCAGGGGTGGGTGGGTAACACGGTGGTTGGGGTTGTTGGGTAGATGGTGGATGGGAGAAAAGCAGAGAGAAGATGGAGAGAAAAACATACTTGGAATCGATGGGTGGCTCTCGGTAGCGTTCGGCGGCTGTCAATTTATGGTGGTGTGCTGCTGTGAGTGAGGGTGAAGAGGAAGGTGATGAGGGAGTGATGGAGAGTGGTGAGGGATGAAATAAAAGAGAGAAGGGCCAGTGAGACAGGAAAGCAGAGGAAAAGAGGGGTGGGTGAGTGGAGAGAGAGAGACACTGGTTTAGAAAGAAAAGGATACCGGGGGCCGTGAGTGTGGCCGAGAGAGAGAGTAAATTAACGTTCTAGTCGGCGTGAGATAGAGATAGGAAATTAACGTTCTAATTTGGAAAGTAGACACGCGGGAGAGAATGAGAACATCTTTGAGACGTTGACAGAAGAAGATTAGGAAACTTATGGATGTTAGGGTTAATTAGGATAAGCAAGATAAAAAGTTTTTATGTGGGAAAAAAATTTAAGTGGTGCTTTTGGTTAATACATTGAGTTATAATTATTTATTGAATTAATTCTTTATTTATCTTGCAACAATCTGAACTATACTATATTTTATTAATTTAAATGCTAACTAATTCACATTTAATTTTGATTAAAAAAATCTCTAAAATTTTTATCTAATATTATACTCAAATTCATACTAAATCACTAGAGAATTGTAGTGCTTGCATAATAATTCTATGACTATAAATATTTCAGAGTTAAGTAGTAAAAAATATAAGTTTCATCTTTTTAACGTCTTAAAAAATTATATTCTAACTTTATCATGCATGTTAAAATAAAATTAGCCCTTAACATGATAAATAAATATTGTTCGTACAACTCTAATGTCATTTATACAATTGATCTTAAGGCATACTAATAAGAGGAAAAACATTGTAATGCTTTTTTAATGTTCAAATTATAATTATGGAGAAAATCCTAATCCCATGCTTAACTCCTTAATGTCACAAAAGGCCATGCTGCAACGTTTGCTTTTTTGGTTAAAGGAGGATGTTATATTGCAATTGTTTATTACAGATGCAATTAGATTTGTACGAATGTGTATAATTGATTTGTGTTTGAATTGAAGAATAGGGCTTCGATGATGGGATTAGTGGTCAGAGGGGGGCTAAGACCATGGTAATGACTTCATTGATGCACGATGATCATTGTTGAATTTAAGGTTTGATTTTTGTGAATTTAATTTGTTTGTTTGAATGAAATTTGCCAAGTATGTTTAATTTGAATGAGAATAGAGTATTTAATTAATTTTCTCTAACTGTTCAAATTTTTTGTAATAAAATCATTACCACTTGAGTAGTAAACACCAATCTCAAAATTCTTGGTGCCCAAAGAAATTTTTAAATGGACCAAATAATACTTTTGTCAAAGTGCCGAACAAAGTATTCGAGAACTATATTTTTGTAGTGTAGCTTCTTTAAAGCAATGCAGAGCATCCTTGTGACAAGTTAGTTGCTACCGATCACAGGTTAGATTGTTCTTAAATTTTGTCATTTGTTTGTGATAGAATTCTGTAATTCATGGTGCCTCTCTAAATGTACTATAACTAGTCATTTATTCCATGTTGTTTTTAATTTTTTTATGCCAAGTAACTTTCGTGTTAGATTTTATGCGTTTTATATATACTAGCAATGCACCACGTGTGTTATACATGAATAGTTTTTATACATAAAAATTAATATAATATATTTGTATATGTGTATATGAATTAAATATTATCTCAAATTTATCAGACTTAATTTTTCATTACTCATATTCTATTATAGGATTATAAAAACTTAGTATATTTATAAAATTCGTTATTCTAACTATAAGAAAAAAGCTAAAAACAAAAAATAGTTAAAGTTATATATATATATTTAGAATCTTGTGATTGAGAGTGATTTTTCAGTAATGTTTGAGAAAATAATTTTTTTTAAATTCATTAGATTAGGATTTAACTTACAATTCCTTGAATAAAATAAAAGTAATTGTCAATATACTACTTAATTATATTGAAACTTTACTGTAATTAAGGATTAATTAGATAAATTAGAATAAGATTTAATATAATACTCTATAATGTATATTTTAAAACATATCAACATTTTTAAAAATTAAAGTTTTTCTTAAAAATAAATTACAAACTAATTTCACATAAAATCTTAATACAATTTAAAAAGTTTATTGTAAACTAGAAACTTTATATTGATGTAGCATAAAATAATTTTTAAAAATTATATATATAATTATTTTTTATCTTAGAAATAAAATGGTTAAACTTTTTAAATAAAAAAATTAACATATATGCGAATATTTATATTTTTCCATATGAGAAGAGTAATATTAGATTGATGAAGATTTTTAAACACTTTATTGACAATATAATGATGCATATTTTTAAAGATGATATAGTCAATAAAAATTTTTCATCAAAATTGATATTTTATATAAAGAGAATAGATAATTAAAAGAGAAATTAAAAGTAACTGAGAGATTTAAATACATAAGGAGATAATAGATAATTTAAATATTTAATTGTGAAAGGATCGAGTGGTCTTTATAATTTTTTTATAAAGATAAAATAGAGAATTAAATTTTTTTCATATTAAAATATTTTTATTAATAGTATAAATGATAACCAACTGTTTGTTATGATATTATACTTAAAATAACTCAAACTATTTGGATTTTGGACGTTTTTGAGATCTTCTGTGATTTTAATATTGTGATCAACTTGCCTTTGACCTAATTTAATGCAAAGATTTGCCAATCCACTTTTTCTCATTTCTCTTCATCTCAGTTTTCAATTTCTCTGCAGTATTCTTCTTTAGTCAGAATTTCTTAAGATAGGTCAGATATATAATATAAATTTAGAATTTGTGTCTTATAAATTTTTCTTTGCAATATTGTTAGATTAATCATTTGCCAATGCAAAAATAAAAAAATAAAAACAAAAATCATTTCCCAATATATATATATATATTTGCAAGCTCAACTGTTCGTTAAACTCAAATCAATATTGTCTAGAGGACACAATCGACTTGCGTTTGTTATAGGAGCGCTCTCTCTGTCTCTCTATATCGTATCAGTGATCTCTTCATGGATTCGATACCCTCCGAAACTCTAGCTTCTCAAGCCCCAACCAATGCTCCACCTGAACTTGAGCCTGATAGTCTTTTATTTTCCTCCTCAGAAACCCTAGCTTACTCTTCTCAAACACCACTTCCGTCTTCATCTCCGCCTCCGCCTCCTCCTCCACCACAAACCCTAGCTTCTGACGATCCGAACCCGAATACTGTACCCGAACCCCAAATACAAAACTCGAATCAACCTCCCCGGGATCATAGCAATGGCGGTGTTTACGTCACCCAGACTAGCGCAGAAAAGGATAATTCGGCGTCGAAGAGGGCACAACGAGTAGCCGACGGCGGCGGCGCAGCCGGTGGGACCCTCTCCCGGACTCTGAGGCGGAGAATGGCGACACGAATAATGGGCCGAAGAAGCGTAAGTCCCGATGGGCAGACGATGAGCCCCAACCAGCCTTTCAGCTGCCAGATTTTATGAAAGACTTCATTGGTATGGACATTGACCCCGAAATTCAAGCTTTGAATGCTAGACTTCTTGAAATTAGTCGTATGTTGCAATCGAACTTGCCTTTAGATGATCGTCCCGAGGGCGCTAGATCGCCATCACCCGAACCTATATATGATAACTTGGGAATTCGAGTGAACACTAGAGAGTATAGAGCCAGAGAACGACTTAATAGAGAAAGACAGGAGATAATTTCGCAGATAATTAAACGAAATCCGGCATTTAAGCCACCCGCGGATTATAGGCCACCAAAGCTTCAAAAGAAGTTATATATACCAATGAAAGAATACCCAGGTTACAATTTTATTGGATTGATAATTGGGCCGAGGGGGAACACGCAAAAGAGGATGGAAAAGGAAACGGGTGCCAAGATTGTGATTCGGGGTAAGGGGTCAATTAAAGAAGGTAGGATAGGGCAGAAAAAGGATTTGAAGTTTGATCCGGGAGAAAATGAGGATTTGCATGTGTTGGTGGAAGCAGAGACGCAGGAGGCGCTTGATGCTGCTGCAGGGATGGTGGAGAAGCTTTTGCAGCCGGTGGATGAAGGGTTGAATGAGCACAAGAGGCAGCAGCTCAGGGAATTGGCTGCTCTGAATGGGACAATAAAGGAGGATGAGTATTGTAGGTTGTGTGGTGAGCAAGGGCATCGGCAGTTTGCATGTCCTGCTCGGATGTCAACATTCAAGAGTGATGTGCTGTGTAAGATTTGTGGAGACGGTGGGCATCCGACAATTGATTGTCCTCTAAAAGGGACAGCAGGTAAAAAAATGGATGACGAGTATCAAAATTTCTTAGCAGAATTAGGTGGCACCATTCCAGAATCTGTTACTAAGCAAAGTACGGCATTGCCTATTATGGGTTCAAATATTTCAGGAAGTAATCCCCCTTGGGCATGTGGTAACAGTAATGGGAGTTCGTTGCATCCTGGACTTGGGAGCACTGTAGCTAAGATTGGAAAAGAAATTGATGATACAAATCTGTATATTGGATACCTGCCACCAACTTTCGATGATGATGCTCTGATACAATTGTTTTCTCCTTTTGGTGATATAGTAATGGCTAAGGTTATCAAGGATAGAGTGACTGGATTGAGTAAAGGTTATGGTTTTGTTAAGTATTCTGATGTTTCTCAGGCCAATCAGGCCATTGCTAGCATGAACGGTCATCATTTGGAGGGGAGAATGATAGCAGCACGAGTGGCTGGTAAGCCCCCCCAACCAGCTGTAAACCCTGTAGCTCCTGCTCCAACAGTGCCCAGCTATCCTGGTCACAATCAAAAAGTTAATGGATACCCATCAGGTCAAAATGGACCAGGTGGCCCTTTTGGAAGTGCACCACCTGCAAGTTACATGGGTCCTTCTGTTCGATGGGGACCACCTGCTCCTCCTCCATATGCTTCTTATGCCCCTCCTCCTCCTCCTCCTCCTGGGTCAAATATGTACACCCTTGTCCAAGGTCAGCCTATGCCCCATTATGGTGTACCATATCCCCCACTGGCACAAACAGCTGCCTCTGGTGCCCTACAGCTGAACATGCCTTCTGGTGAAGCCCAGCAAAGCTACCCCCCTGGAGTGCAAACTCAGAATAACACATCTGCACTATCTGCAGCTTCTGATATTTATGGAAGCACAACAACTGCAATGCCACCATATTTGCACACTGCATATCCCCCAGCTTCGCTGGGTTATCCTTCTTATTATGCTGCAGCTCCTCCACCCCGGCTGTATCTTATTCAATGGTGGACCAACAGAGTTTTGCAAGTGCACCATGGGCTTCAAACCAACCAGGGCCTCCTGCAGACCAAAGTCAGCAGAATAGTTCTGGTGCAGATTCCGATTATGAAAAGTTCATGGTAGAAATGAAATAAAACGAATTTTGTCTTGAAAGTAAGTATGCAACTCCTCCCCCCCCAAAAAAAATAAATAAAATAAAATAAAAATAAAAAAAATAAAAAATTGGTGCCCTTTGATTTGGTTGAATGCAATTTATAGTTATTTGTTGTGGTCTAAGTTTTTAAACATATGTCCTTTTTTCGGTATAGGAAAAATCATTAATTGTATATTTGTGACTTCACCCAACCTGGCTAGGAAGATCTGCTGTAGATGTATCCAATGAATGAGTCATTTATCCCCCGAGCATTTTGTGCCGATCTTCCTGTGGGGCATTAAATTAAATGATAGGCAAACGAACCTTCATATCTGTGATTTGGAAAATGAGTGCTAACATATGGAAAGGAAGGATATAACTTACCAGAATTTTTTTTTCAATATTGTGAATGATTCTTATGTTACATTGTTTAAAATGCCTGTTCATTTGTTATTGTGATCAATAGCAATCATGTTTACTTCTCGCATGCTGATGTTGTTGTAAACTAGTGTTTGGTTGATCAAAACAGACCGCTGGTCGCCTTGGCAGAGTTGATATCTCGACAACAAAATGTTGCTATAATTTTGTATTCCAACTTTTTCAGATTTAAATAAAATGGCTTAGGTTTACAATAGTTTCAATATCATCGTTCCATCCTTCACTCATTTTGTTTGATGTTTTCTTTTGGGTGTGTGTGTTTTGGGCAAGTTGGATTAAAAATATCTATTCTTTTTCCTTTCGAGTGTCTTACGTAAAATAGCCTCTGAATTGCTAGAGGTAAAGATGCAAGTACAATTATGCAGGGAGCTGCAAAAGCTGCATGGATGTATACATATATATGTCAGTGTTACCAGTCATTTCCACTTACTATGCAACCTACATTATTCTTATCTATACAGTTTGTTAACTTTTTTGTTCATGGTCATACTCTTTGGCAGGCAGATGTTTCTTGGAGCTCTTATCCGCATTTTT